CTACTTCATTCCAGGAGGTAGTGTGCCAGCCAATCTCCCAACCGGGTAAGTTAAAGCAAATCAGAGATGTCTCTGCTAAGGCCCCGTCTGTTGATTTGGTAATAATCGATTCTATTAGTAAAATGATCTAAGAATTCATTTTATCTTACGAGATTTGAGTAAGCGCGTGTTTGGAACAGCCAGTTACTTAACAAACCACTACCAAGGGACAGAACTTTTTTTAAATCATCAGTTGCCGGACAGACAGTCTGAGTAAGATATTGTTTGTGGAGGGATTCTGAAAAAATACTCCAAATGCATGTCTAAAATCAAGATGTTATCGCACGGTTGCATGTGAGTGACAGGCGATATCTAAGGGTGTGCAGCTCCCACACTAAAACCATTTAACGTGTGACGTCGGGGAGATGGAATAGTGACTACACTCAACTACACAACGGGATTTTCGGCTCACTCTAGTGACTAGACGATTTCTGGAAGGGTCGCACAACGATTGTGAATGGCAACCAAAGTTTCTATGTATTCTGTAAGGTAACGAAGGGTAGACTACCGTACGTGAATCCAAGGGACAGCTTCTTACTGGCTTATTCACTCCAACGATTTTAAGTTGTTTTATCTACGTCTTAAGTAGAACCAACCGATGGGTATAGTTGCTCTACGGAGCAATGAGAGTGAAGCTTGGAAGACAAATTAAAACGGACGACAGCTTATTTGCTTCCGAAATGCAACAGCACAATCTTGATAACAGGACCATCCAAGCCATACGGATGAAGATCCCAGTAAAAAAACATAGAACGAGTTTTCTTGTCGACAAATTGACAACGGAATTAGTAATTAAACTGAACGAACCACTCCTTGCGTTTTGGAAGGTGAATGACAAGCTAACTAACCGCAAACAATATTTCTTATAAAGTTTAAGACTGACAAGATGAAGGACATTTGAATTAGCCAGCAAAACGTGTTGGATCACTACAATTCTTTGGTGGAGTAGGTATAAGAGAATGTGGTAATCGTAATGTTGCCGATGTACTTGACTGATTACCCATAAGATCATTTAACTCGTATTTTTGTCATGCAATTATGCGTCATTTCTCACCCTTGCCTCTTGAAAGCTTGGAGCTGATGAACCATCCATTTCAGGAAATTCTCTGTGGGGTCATTCATGGTCCTACTAATCTACTGAAGAAAATAATGGAGAAAAGAAAAGAAGCCCTTGAAGCCAATTCATGGAAGAAATATGCACATGTGAAATGGTTTAACTGTCTTTCAAGTGAGAAGTTTCGGGCTCGTGTTCCACAACAGCTGCGCTTGATTTGTATTTCCAGAGCACAAATACTGTTCATGTTAATGCACAAAGACGGAAACACTGATTTGCCTCACACCGTTGCTTGTATCTCTGACAAGGGTTATGAAACTTTGATGAAAAACGGGATGCATACGGTTACCTGCAAAGTGTCGAGCTTGCAAAGTTACGCAAGAAAAACTCATTTTTGACTGATCTTCGTTGGACACAAATACGTTTTCTGAACAAAGCTCATAAATGTGAGTGCAGTATATCGATACTAGATGGGTTATTTTTGTCGTTGCTCGAATACCAAGTAGCATGAAGGCCTAGACGGTTTTGATCGTCATACAGCTTGGACTGCAATGAAGATGACGGAAAGATACAACATAGTGGCTTCAGAGGAGCACCGATAAACGTACTTCACTAACAACTACTAGCCGTCATACTTCCCCATCCTCAATCAAAATATTGTTACCTACTTCTTGCTTGCTGTCTTGGTGTAACCAAGTCGCGAAAATTACATTTAGAGCTTTCATATTTAGCTTTACCTATATCGCTCTACCTGTGGGCTTTGGGGCAGCCATTGAGTGTCCCGCCTAATCTGGCAGGATGATGTTTCTTGGGAGTGTGCCGAAACGGTTGTGACTCGGTTTTTGAACTCAGATAGGACAGCAGAAACCATTTGGTTAAATACCAGTGAACGCCCCCATCCGACTCAGTGTCAACTAAATACCAGTGGACTTTTCTCCGTACTTACCCCACCAGGTGACTAACCCCAATCTGCTGGGTCCTCAGAAAGAAATATTGTAAATCTACTTGATTTTCACAATGACTCCGAATCAGAAAACCACTTATTAATACAGTGATACGCAATTCATTTTTCTAAATTTAATTTCTGCCCGATACCATCCATCAAAGTAACACAATGCACATTATATTGGATTTCGTCCATATGATTCCGGTATGGAGCATCATTGCATGTTCACTTCATTCGAATCCATACAAAGCTGATGTTTTGTATCCCTGTTACAAGGAGAATTCCTTGACTCTCCATTCGACACCATCCCGAAGGAAAATTTATTGACCCTACTAAAGTGCTGTAAATATTCATAGTTTCCTCGGCGTTCATAGCGGTAGCATGACGATAGAGCCATAAATAAACTCGCCAAAATTAACTTCTATAATATCTTGACCAAGCGGTTAGACATACCAAGATAATTTCATTACACTGGTGTATTTAAACCGTGGGTTACTATAGTCAAAACCGCCGGGTTAGAGCGCTGACTCTAACGAGATATGTGGAACATATGTGATGTATTAGAACGCTTTGAGAGAGACGGCAACATAATTTGATTGTTATGGTCTTCCGAGTTCACTCAAGGATGGTGAAAACACAACGGGGCAAACAGTTGCAACTAAACTTCAGGGCACCTCAACTTTCCAACAGGCCTTAAACTGTGACAGCTATCTGCATCAGCTGGATTACATATTACTCCGCTTGATGTGATTTCGCCTAATTGGTTATCCCCTAATACAATTTCTACAAGGTTTGGGGTGATTCGGTTTAGAATTGACTTCTTTCGAAAAACCGGCTCACAATCTCCAAAAGCATCCTCAAGAAAGATAAGAAATCAGGTTTTTCACAAGTTTTTTTCCAAATTCCTCTGATATGTAGTTTTCTAATCAGTGGCGTTTCCAATGGGTTGGTTCCTGGGCCCTTTCTTGACCTGATAATGTTATCTAATCATGCATCATACTAGTTTGCCTGTTCCTCAGTAGAGGTACCACGACAAGGGAAACACCAGCATCGCTCTTTTTCCCTATTAAGTTTCAAGCGTCAATGCATACATAGATATTGAGGCTCCGTTTTTTAGGCAAAGAATGGACTTAGTCGGCGTTTCAAATTACTGCCATAAAAGTCGCCATTTGCAATGTCTCATGTAAAATATGCATAACCCCAAACGCCACCTCTCCCTAACTTTAGACAGATTTTACCATTTAAAACCAATTGATGGTTGTAGCCTTCGGAAATCTACATAATCACCGCTTATAGATCAATGTAACCATTGAGCCTGGTGAACGTTTTTTGCATATCTACTACCAGATGAGCAAACAGATGTAATTGAGTAAACGTCAGTCTGTTAGTAAAAGTTCAAACGTTTAGAGCGTGCAAAGCAGTTCAAACTACTGTCAATAATCAAACAAGCCCAACACGCTACATTTTGCAAGCTAAATTATGCGACACTCCGAAAAATGTACCGGAACATTTATCTTCTTTGGGCGCATGCAGCGTTTAGTAAGCTGGCTGGGCATTAGACAAACACCGACAACTTAGAGCGTCTGAAGGATACTTGCCAAATGAATATAGCAGAATCAATTGTCTTTTGGTGTTTTACTGCTCACTACAGTTCTCTGCTACCTTCATTTTTATCATCATCAAAGTCAAGATATCCCGTGTGTAGCACTTCCCTTAGAAGGGTGAAAAGTTAGAGCTATCTCTGCTTTCTCACAAATGGCAAATTTCCTGATAAGTTTAATTATCTGGTCCAAATTCGGAAATTTCTCTCGTTTTCTCACGCGAATTGCCTTCGTTATGTCACAATAATTAACTGATCAGGGATAGCGATGATTGACCTCGTAAACCGTGGAAAAAATCTAGGAAAACAATCTGAAGAATTTTCGTTCCTGGATCCTCACTTTGGTAAGCCTACCAATGCATTTGACTCATCTGTGTCGGAGCCGTTTTTCCCATCAAATTAACTGTTTCTCGTTGGTAGAATACCGTGTAAAAGACTGAAAAGAATGCGACAGCGCACGAGAGGTCTTGGCCTTCTTCAGCTCATTGGGACGTGTCGATATTACCCAAATTGGCCATCGTATAATACACTTCGAAATAGAACCAAGATGACGTTGTCGTAAAAATTTAGTACCCACTAAGCTGATAAAGAATTTTCCTAAGTAATCAAGGCAGTGAAAATTCAAGACAAATATTCCAATGCCCTGATAATCTTAAATAAATTCTGACTGTTTTCGGGTAACAAATTTGATTAAATTGAATCACAAAAGATAGAGGTGCTTGAGTCTTGCTTGTCTCCGGGTCGCACCATCGTGGTTTGCGAGGAGCACTTCACTGTAAACGCTTACATTTAGAGTTTGAGCAACAGGGCTATTCGGGAGCAAAACAGAGGTGGTGGATCCCTGAAATCCCGTTCAATCTTTGTTTTCAAATTTTGAATGGTTTCATATGAAGCAGTAACTCTACGAACTCGGGGAAATCGACTAAGGTAAAGTTCGAAACCTCACCTTTGGCTGAACATTTTTGCGTTATATAAAGCCGTTTTCTACCAATGAACACATTGGTTCTTTGTCATACAGGGCGTATAACTTGGAAACATGGAATGCACTTTTTTAAGGGGTGGTGCATCCAACTATACTAATCTAATAATTCCAGTCGTTTGCCCCATTTCCTTTTTTAAGGGTTTCAGGGTTTTGGCACTCTACAAATGGGGTATTCATGTATGTCATTCTAGTCACGACGTCTGTAGATACCAAAAGTTTTGCATTTCCAAGATGTCCTTCGTTATCTTGCATTGAGGGAAAGGTTGCAAAATCAGGTCCCCAGCTTCAGTAATTTGCTGTGTACTTAAAACATATACAGAATGTGTGATAAACAGGGTTCTCAAAATCATGAGCAACCCCATTAACGAAGACCTCTTAGAGCGTTCTTCGTGAATGTTCTTTTTAACACGGGTGACTGTGCTTAACATGCTGCCAAAAGACAGAAACATTTCACGTTGATCACATAATTTACCGTTATTAGATATTCACAAAATATATCAATTAAAATACACGTGTCAATGGATCGATTTAAGGCGTTCAGAGTGAACATAATCTGCATTGGTGATTCATAGGTTCATTCGTGTTTTGGAGTAAATGAAACTTTGCAGACGGAGCTAATGTCTTCGTCGATTCGAGAAATGTTTGACGCCGTTGCAGATCATTGTCGCTTCTTTGGCATTGAGATTATTTCGAAAGTTCTTTCCATCATGACTTAAATGTTCGAAATTCTCGTATGGATGTGGGCATGGTATATCTGTTTGGTAATATGTTTCCTCTTGTGAGTGTAAAAGGTCTGACACTTTGTTACCTGCACTGGAACAATTGTAGTGATTGGTTTTCAAGCCTTTACTGAGAGCCACTTTTCGCAGATTTCGTACGGAGTGCGCTGATTGAATCCACACGACTGTGTTTGACGTTTGTATCGACAAATAGAGAACCGATCACGACAGGCCAACTCGTTTGGATTTGGCGTAAGCGCAACGTAGCACGTATCTGAACGCCGATGGTAGATAGGATTAATTCGAAGCACTCGTTGAATCTAAAGAAGGAGTAGAATGACATGATAAATGGTAATGGTTTGCTTCCTGGATATGATGATTTATCCTTTCACAGCATAGCATCTTTATGGATATTTATCGAATGAAAAATACTCGAAGATGAATACAATTAAGGTGCTTTATCACACTTAGTGGCTTTGAAATATCTGTATTATAAAATGACGTACTCCCATTCTAGTTCAAAAGTGGTGTCAGCTCTTGATGGCTTGCTCCTAGTTAAATACATTTCACTAGCTAATGTGAAGGCGTCAATAGTACAAATCTAGGCCTTAGGTTAGCATGAAATTTTCCAGCAGATGCACGCACATGCGTAGACTTCATGAAACGATGGACTTAGGTAGTAATTCTGCCAAATGTTCGCATAAGCACCCAATTTGAAGTATACTTCGACGGTTGATCTGTTAAAGGTATGCCAACAAACTGTGATGTCAGATAACAAATATCTTCATGTGGTTCTTCGTGGAAAGGTACACCATGCACTCCAGTTAGCCGTTCAAACCAGGGTTGCCGTGTTCATTTTCTGACATCTAAATAATCTGTCACCTGTAACCGGATCCTTAATACATGAAGTAAAAGAGGCTGATGCTGGGGTCTAGCACGAGAAACGATCTCTGCTTAACTACACACAAACACTGGACGGCGATACTATTGGTGTGAACTGATGAGTCTTGATTTTTTTATCAAAATCCGTCATCCCAGTTGTTGTCTTTCCCACGTGTCCAATTTTTGTATTATCTCAGTTGGCCCGTATTGCATCAAAACATGCTTTGCTTCTAAGCGTTTGTGAACCCAGACGAAATCCGGAAAACGAGCTTTTAGTTTCAAAATTTTCCCCAGTTTGTTGTTTTATTAATTCAGTGACAATCCCGCAACACTGATATGTGGGATCAAGAACATTCGGCAGCTAAGTGTTCTCACATGAATCGCAGACAGCCTTTTAATTTCATCAGGGGGGGGGGGCAAACCAGCAGGTCAGTACGACCCGGCTTATTTTCCACCATTACTTGTTACGCTAAAATGTCATGCTTAGAAATAGGTGACAATTTGCACCGTAACGGTTTGCTTTCCTGCAATAATGTGACTTAAATGTGGGAGTTAGGCTAGGAGAAGTAGCAAGAAAAGGTCCAGTGATCTTTATTCAACCAATCGATCGGAGCTTTTGTCAGAAGCACCTTGGAGCGTATCAAGCACTGATTCATGGATGAACATATTGCCAGGTATGACAGCACACGAGCGAGCCTTTACCTAAGTAATCAGGTCGCCTGAACGACCGTAATGCGAAGCATATCTTGCGCGAACATTTGATCCTGCTTCACCTTTGTACAAATGGTCAGTGGAGTTGTTGGATTAATAGTGCAAGCTATTTGCCAAAAGATGCTCATAAATTATTCCCTATTTGTACGCACATGAAGGTGGGTTATATGTTTTTGTGTATATTGAACACGCATCTGACCATTTATTTTATTTGATTAGCTCTATGAAAGTGTTTCGCGACCGTGTGCCGGGCAACTTGCGGGTGCTTGGACGTCCCAAAGTAGACCCACAATAAACATCGATCGATCGTTCCCAGGTAGGTCACTGAAGGGTTTCTGGTTGTGTTTCTAAATGTACTTTACCCCAGCTTGCAAGTGAAAATAGGTACAAAGTTCAATGATACAATCCGATAAAATAAGAGAACGGTACAATTAGACTTGTCACAGTCTCATAACAGAATGGTTTACATTGTTAGAAGGTGGGAGATTACAGTAATACTTGAAATGCAATTGAACATCGCCTATTGAGCAGGCTAACGTTGTTCCGGCTCGATTATGCTAAAATACTTCATATTTAGCCGATTGACTCAGTTTGGTGTTTTGCAATAAACTCTTTTTTTGAGTACAGGCATTTATTCAAAATTTGCACTCTCAGCTAGACAGTGTGTAATATGCAATGCATATTACACGAAATGTAGTCAGGAGCTCAGGAAGATGAGCTCCTCCAAATGATTTGAAAGCTGAGGAAATGCAAAATGCTAGACTAGAGAACAGGAGATACCTCAGAGGGTCTGGTTGTGATGTGAACAGTTGCACAACAAACTATCTATGAAAAAGCGAACGTTTATTACGGTCTATCCATTGATTCAAGACAAGCTGTTTTCTGTAAGCAGTGTAGCAGGGGAAGAAAAAGTATAAGGACAATTCACTGCAATATAACATGAGATAGCTTAATCATAGAAAATATGAACGGAAAACGATTGCGCACTCCGGCGGGTTGGTGGGAGAAAACCATGTCAGCATACTGGATAATGGTCCAAAACAAAATGGCACTATCTAATCATTTATGATGTGTCACCTGTTAATTAGCTCTAACAAATGAGCTGAGTTTGTCTCCGTGCTTCAGAACACACGTGCATGGGCATTCTCAGCATAGTTCACCTGGTCTTCAGCCAAAAAGACCACTGTATAAGCTTTACTAATCTGCTGATTATGTTTCCATTCTATATTGTACTTATAGCACCAGAGGACTCACCTGGAACCCAGCTGAATCTCTTGGTTATGATGTTCTCAGCAACCTTATGAGTAGTACATTACAAATATATACATGTATCGCGATATTTCAAATATCGACTGAAACATGAGGCGGCCTGGTGCAGCACATTCAGTTGCCTGAGAACATCATAAACGAGAGATTCAGCTGGGTTCCAGGTGAGTCTCTCGAAAGAACCAAATTAGTTTGCAGATGAGTGTATATTCGCTAATTTCGTGCAATTCGGTTTCAAGTAGAACATAAGGTTGGCGGAAACCCGGGGACTGCGCCTACCTGAGGAGCTCCAAGAAGGGCGAAACCGGTCGTGGGCTGTCGATGGATTTTCAGCAACCTTATGAGTAGTACATTACAAATATCAATATATTTTTGTTTTAAGTCCGTCTTACGCATCAACCGGCATTCGAAACTATCATATGGAAATTAGCATGACATAATAGCTGCGTCACAACCACGACCATACAGCAATGATATAAAGTTTTAACATTTTGCTTGGAAATTAGCTAAGCTACAAAGAATGCAATGTGTTGCTTGGAAACGCGGAAGACTCTATTGAATTCGCTGGGCCGTACAACGTTCCGATACAAGGAAACTTGAGCAGAAAATCAAACTTTCAGCATTATGGAGAGCATGCTTTAGGAACATGAGAGACTTAATTAGTTAAATAGCACAAAGCAAACATTTCTTTCAGTTACAACAACACGCGCTTTTACACAATCTGCAGCTATTTTCAATTCATAAATCCGTGCTTTATCCCTCGGCTTTCTACTGAGAGAAATGCACTTGGAGGTCCGATAACAAGATCAACTGGGACTCAACAAGTTTTCCAATTTTATTGCTGCATAAATGGTTTTGATCAAATAAACATGTTCGAAAATATTTGAACGTGGGAAATGTAAGTACTTTTTCCTCAATATTTTTTTCCATCCCTTGTCAGAAATGCTCTTACGCGTGCGTACGCTAATCGATTGCATGCTGTTTCTTGACTTACTAGAAAACGCGGGTTCCCCGCTGGGATTATTACATGAAAACGTGCCCAGTTAAGTTTGATTAGTAGCCATGTTGATATTTGTGGACGTCTGCCAACTTAACTTTCCAAACGTTTTCGGGCTTTTCCTTAAAAAAGTCTCCTACGCGAAGAAAACAATTGCCCTAACTCTAGTCATCATGCGCACAACCTATTGAGTGGTCATGCGTTGCTATCATGAACGTAAAAAACTTTTGAACGTTACCACCTGAGGTAGATTAGTCCGTTTAAGCAGAAAATATGCATTGGATCGCTATTAGAACGAACCATACTTCCATTTAATACTAAGCACCTTTAAATATAGGATTATTGCTTTTCACCTTTATTAGGAACGTGACAATTTGGGATATCCACCTTCCACATACAGCCTTGTCGTTTTTCTTATTCGAGTTTCTCTCCCAAGCCAAGGCGGGAATTCATTCCTGTTATCACCGTGATAGCCATCAGCGGTAGTGAAATGGATTCCTGACCTGATAGCTATGTATACAAATTCATTAAAATTTTAATCCAGCAATGCTTTTGTTTCGGAAATGAGGCAGCAAATAAGTAGAGATCAACTTTAGAAGACTGCGTCTAAGCGGCTCAAATCAAGCTGAACCATCCAGAAAGTCTCCAGCACATCAATCACGCGAATGACCAATCGGATAGCTTGGACAATTCGGTCAACCTGACCGTCAGACAACTGGTCGATATGCCTTACTAAGAGGACCCGCACACCACTACTCCTGTAAAAATTAAAATGCCCAGTCTAAGATGCACACATCAATACTGACAATGAGACATCCTGCAGGAACGCATGATTAGACCATAAAGGCTGGTTCTACATTTTGGACAGCACAAGTCTCAATAACTACATAATTTCAGACTTCGGCAATAAAAAACTGACCAACTGGCGGATTGACAATGAGAATTCGATTCCCAAGTTAAATAAATCACTTATTGATTTTGACGAAGATGTGCGTTTTTGCGTAAAAAATCGTCGAATGAACTCATATTAAAGCGCCAGCAGAAATTTTCTATTATTGTTATTATCTTAATTCATGAACAAAAAAGAGAAATATGCACCAGTTATTCGAGACTGTTGTCAGTTAAATTGTCAGCTCATGAGAATGTGAAAATGCATTTCATTTGATCGGACTAAAAGCTCGCATTAAAATTAGCTTAAAAACCTTCATCTTTGACCATAAACCTCATTTGATTTTGTGGTTCAAAGCGGTTGGCTAAACACCACCACGATGAACGAGACCCGGTGTTTTATCACACCCCCGAAATATTCAATTATCAAGGCGTTCATGCTTGATAACCCTCAGACGAATCCGACATATACAGTATATATTTGTACGTATAGCTGTAGTTGTACGGTAGTATACGGACAGAAGTAAGATAGATTTGAGAGTAACAGGTCTGCAACTGGTATGCATATTGTAAATTAAGATTTCGGTGAGCACATGAACATTTGTATACTGAAGTATTTGTACTTTTCAGCTTCAGACAATAGTTTTCCCGTAATCACTTAGAGTTCCTCCGGCATTCATGCTTATTTCTACAAATTGCTTCAAAGTTTTACAGTTTTGCAAAAAGAAAGTGTCTTCGTTGTCCTTACCTCTCAAGACGATTCTTTTTTCATTTCCCCCTACAAACAATTGATTATATTTGGATTTTGGCACACAAATGAGACTTGCTCATTTTATTTTTAGTGGGCCTCTATTGTCAAAGGATCTGTTGACGGTTGTGCAAATTCTAGAGTCTGGGAGAATCCAATAATTCGGATTGACAGAGCTGTGGAATTGAGTACATTCTTGAGAAAATTTGAGATATGGAATGTTGGTTTAGGGCGCATGAAAACTATTGTTCTTTCATCGACAGAGCGTGTATCACAATTATTATTAAAACCTTGGTTGACGTACTTTACAAATTCCACAGTATGCCTGATATTTGAAACGCAGATGACGTTTCTGTTGTCTTGTCACATCATTCCATCTTGCTTTCCATGAACAAGAGTCTACGTTTGGGACTCCGTCCTCATAAAGTCCTGGAAAAATAAACACTACAATGTTAGCATATCTCGAAAGGGAGAGGTGCTAAAATTATAGTGGTGTTTCGAAAGCATTTCATGAAACAAGAGAGCTGAAAGAACTAAAAAGAAGAGTTTGTAGAAATAGTTGGAGCAGCCATGCAAGTTCAAAAATATTTAGGCAATGATCAACAGTGAAATAAATATTATTCGAAAATTTGTTTTTAAACACCATTAGTCAAAAAATATGAAACTGTGAGGAAAAGACAAAGTATCAACTTTCATCCGCTTTAGCTCAAAAATCTACTATTAACCAATTTGGTCACAAGTCTGTTTTAACATCACGCTGGTAAAAACTACAAATCTTTTTTCAGCTATACTTTGAGCAGTACATTCCATGACGTGTCGTTCATGTAGCACCCATTTGCTGCCTAGCTGACAAACCACGAGAAGGGGGCACGAGGGGTGGAATACTTTCAGGATGCTCAGGCCTAGACAGGTAATTCGAGAAGCAGAGGTCAGGTTCGAAACACGGACCTTCTAATCACTGAGCCATCTGACCTCCCCCATTGCGAGTTATGGTGAACCCTGATTATATTCAAATTTTCATTAAACTTATATTAAATCAGCTGCACTATTTTAGTTACATAAATGACCGCAGAAGGAAAGTAAAACGATACAATGAAGAATAAATTAGGCCAAACTCATATGAAATCTATATCCTCAAAAGCCAATAAAACTAATATGCGCAAAATGATGACTTGTTTTTTTATCCAAAAATTCTCTAAATATTCGCCTGATACTTATATTTTTGCCATGATAGCAAATAAAATATTTTACCTCATTTTCCTGCTGTATATTTTACGTCTCATGAAGATGTAGTCCGTATGGTTTTTGTGAGGTAACAACGGGACTTTTTTTAAAATCTGAAGCACTAAGTTACTGTCAATCAACTTTTTGAACACTGATTTATGAAAGTGTAATACGATTTTACGGTAGCAAGCCTCTATGTTTTATAGTTCACTTGTAGTTTTTTGGCAGCAATAATCTTATTATTGCGTATTTGAGGGACAAAATTCAATTTCTTTAAAAAACACTTAATTAATAACAGTCAGATACACGAGTTACTTCTGTGAGTAAGATGTTTATTTCGAGATGTTCAATAACTGACATTTGTTGTTTCCCACCAAGCAAAAAGTCGAACTAATATACAGCATATAAATGTCAAATATGTGATTGGTCCCTGAAGCGTCTTTGGCGAAAAATTTGACGCAGACTAGATTATCGCATATTCAAGCCAGTTCGTCAAATGGGGCGATCAATTTTGTAGCGTCTTGAGACCATGGGGTCTATAATAGCCTAATTCATACATAAATCTTTTCCCTATTCGTGATGGATGTCCTTCACCGAAGTAGAACTAGCACGCCTAGATTCTTCAAAAATTCTTTGGTCGGGATGGTGGTTGCTAACTCTCAAATACCTTCACAGTAAACTAGTTATTAAGGCGGAATTTGTCAGGCATTTGAAAAGAGAACACTGCGACAGTTTTCAAGTAAGGAGACAGTTCGTAGGCTTCAAAATTGTACATTTTGACCGCGGACCAATGTAGGTTTTTAAGTCTGCTCTTGCTCACAACGCCAAGTCTAGGTGTAAAATTGGTTAGCCTGTAACTCCGAAGCCTTGGCCTTGTGTAGTAATGATCGCCGTTAATGTTGCTGCCGTAGAGACTTTGTCTTCTTGCAGCGTTATTTTAGGGATCTGAGTAATCCAACCGACATTTTACCATCTGCCGGCGGAAATCATGGGTTAACAGAAAACACGGTTAAGATTACCTGCGTCTCTTACTTGCTGCTATGTCCAGTATGGCCCTCAAAATGTAAGGTGATGCTTCTTGTAGCCACTATACGTGCCGATTACAATACAGAAGGCACTGGGAACTAGTGGAATACTATTCGTATCATGGAAGATGTGTGAGTTTTAACTGTAGTGTGGCAAATGAGGTCGGTTTGCAAATCTCTAGGTCTCGAATTGTGTTTGTTAATTTTAGACAAATACAACATGAAAGCGTTATATATCTGATTCTCAAGGGACGAGTATGGTTGCATGGTTGTGAGGCATAGCCTCTGGTACAGGAACTGAGATATTTTCAGGTCTTCCACGCCCACTGTCTTAGAACCGTCTCATGTAAACTTGTTCCGATGAATGTGTAATGGGATATGTAGTACGGGAGTGTTTGGTTGTGCCTGGCGCAGCAGTATGAATCAGATGACGAAAAGCATGAGTGCTGTTGGTGAAACTCGGCTCCCAAAGTTCCAACATATCGGGTTGAATACGCCGCAAGCTTTAGCTGCCAATCGGTGCCAATAATGCTTCTGTTGTCAGTAGTTGCTTGAATTGCCTAAATGGGAATGATTGTGGTAAGCTAGCACTAAAGCCCCGTCTACCCACTTTTTTTCGACCCAAAGCAGTGGAGCATCAGTGTTAAACACTGATCTTGTTTTCTCGATGACGGTGACAATAATGATGATGAACATGCCTTATCCAGTCAAAGTAGCTCATTTTTGACACTTATGACTTCGTCTTTTTTTGCGCGAGTTCAAAGAATTTCTTGAAAAGCAAGCGACTTTGCTACTAAACGCTGGTAGCAGGTTTTCAAGCAGAACACTGTATCTTGACAGGCTTGTCGAAAGCAAACCAGACAGCGCAAAGGCGAAAGTCATCCCGGACCTGAAAAATCAATAAATGCGTGCCTTGCAACCAAATGTAATCACATCGCTTGTTTTGGAATTCCTCAAAAGTAGAGCATCCCGTGCAACCGAATGTGGTACCTTGTTAAGGGTACTATGGAGTTCGTCGTGTAAGAAACCAGAGTGGTTTTAAACGATGGATGGCTATTAGAGCAAGAACTTAGACACCTTATTATGTGCTTGTCTGTATCAAATAACTTACAACAATGAGAGAGAGAAAAATATCGCCCTACCTCGAACACCGCAAGGGGCAAATAATTGACCTGTAACGAAACGCATTCGTTTAGAAGAGATGCCTCATGTTGATACAAAGGAAGGATTTGAAAAACTCTTTGACGTTAAGACCTAATGTGGGCTTATGAATGGACACCTATATATTTTGAGGCATATTGATATAGAATATTGGATATATTATTTCGTTCTAGGTATATATTAGAGAAACTCATTTTGTTCTAATAAGGTAGGTTACCTAAAATACCTCGGAAATTATTTTGATTTGTGTTAACCGGTTGGAAAAAGAAGAAGGAGATCACGAATAACAATAAATGAGACACAGCTATCTGTACTAATGGATAAAAGAACTTGAGTTTTTCTGTCGTACAAAATGCCCATGAGCTATTTAATTTCACCCAAAAACGTACCAGACATCCGATAAAATGAAAAAATCACGTACTATTGGAGAATCAAGTTCATGCACCTCACACGGAAATCTTACATATGCTGAAGTACATTATGCTTGTTTTAGCAGTGTCATTCGTAGACAGTCGCAAACTAAAAGAGGAAATCCTGGGCGTCTCAGCGTACTTAAACTCACCTGTTATCAGATATACCTGTCCAAGATCAGGGCCGGTTTGAAAACGGTCACACCTGTACATGATCCTACTGTAATGCGTCGGATGAAAAAACTGTTTGTTATCCTGAAAAAAATGGCAATGGGAAAAATTAAAGTTTTAAATGTTAATGAGACACATGAAATGGATTAATTTATTCAAAAGTTCTAAGCTTTGATGTCAAATAATGGGCAACCGGATAAGTGCCATGAGGACTGTTCTTTGCTTCCCAGCATCCCAATTTTGCACCAGTAAATATTATGTAGGCTCGCAAAAGTAAAATCTTCCGTGAAAACTATGCCAATACTTCACGAGAGCAAAATATGCTCATACTATTTTCGGAAAGTTCTGTATGATGATAAAAAACGAGAAAGGCTTATTGGTAGTCTGGTCGAAAATGCATGGTGGACACAAATTCAACTTTCATTCAGACAGGTCATGGAAACCCGAACGAATATCCCCGATTCTGTACATTGCGTCGCCACTAGGCAAATACAAGGGAAGTCACGTGGGCCCCATGCTAGAAGGTGTGTTTCGCTACTTCCTTTTGGCTGGCATCCATTAGAATTCTGGATGAAAAACGTAATACCTCGTGCTAGACAATAACTCTACTTGCATGACACGTGTTTATGCCACCATAGTTGGTGGCGACGGATCAAGAAAGTTACCTGCTCCAAAAATTGTTTGATAAATTTTTGGCGCCAGTTTCAATTAGTGGTGGTTCAAAAAGTTTCCGAAACTCATTTGCTCCGTTTTCCAACGACCTACTATGTAAGCTAATTGGCAAGTTACTTCTGGAAGAGTAGTGAACACCTGATATTTGATTATCCTCCCATTATATGAACC